ACCGTGCACATTAGAGCATTGGAGATGCTCTTATATTCAAAACTTTAATTGATACAATTTGAATATTCTTTTGTTTTTACCTTATTATTATATTCGACTATTTTCATGGGGAGGAAGTAGGGCTGGTCAAAACGGTTTAGTTTAATTCAATGGAACCGAATCAAATAAAAAATTGATACTCTGGTTTTTATTTGGGTTCACTTAAATAAATCGGTTGGTAACAATTTTCTCAAACTGGATATGATTTGGTTTGATTTTTCATCAAATAACCGTATATCGAACCGAACAAGTTGTAATATTCATAAAATTACTTTGTATTTGTCTTTGCTCTTAATCGCTTTGTTTCATAGTTCACAAAAAATTTATACATAGTTCACATTTAAAAATGACCTGCTATACCGGGTTGTAACAAGTTAGGGATCATTTTTGGAAAATGATCTCTATAGTTGGGACCACCCAAGAATAATCGATACTTGAGATTATTATCGGCGGACCAATAATAGTTGGGATTATTATTTTCAATTTTTCCTTTCAATTAAACTAGAGTACAATATACATTTTGCATGATTTATTTGAGTAAAATAATAAATTTTACAATATTTATACCGCCGACTCATTTAGTTTTCTTTGAATATTTATTTGATATTATAAACGTTAATCAAGTATAAAATTATCTTTTGTGAGAGGTGATTTTTTTTCTAGTGGTTAAAACGACGCTAGACATTTTCATCTCATCACTCCCAATAAGACAATTCATTTAGATGTCAATAATTTACATTTTATTATTTCTTTTTCTATCTTTTATTTTCATTTCATATTTTATTTAAATAACAAATACAAGAAGATGAGATGAACTACTGTTTCATTTTTTATATTTTAAATATACAACTTGATCAAATAAAATATGAAGTAATAAACTTACGAAATCAAACCGAATCAAACTAAATTAAACCTTATAATATTCACTTGGTTCAGTGGCGGCCTTGTATGTTCGAAGGCTTAGGGGTGGAGAATTAAAATGGATCTGATGTTACAAAAACTTGTAAAACCCTTTTCTATTTAAACTGACATGCATAATAGTAAGGGAAAATGGTCAAATAGGTCCTCGAACTTACATAAAAAGGTCAAATAAGCCCTTATATAGGAGGCTCTGTCCGGCCGTCACCATTTGGGGCAGTTCCCGGTGGAATTTTTTGATGAAATTTTTTGAGCATCTTATTCATTAAGTCTAGTTTACTCATACCAAATTTCAGATAACAATTCAATCGGGAAGGCATTCAAATGAATTCTTGAAGATAACCGCGCTTAATAATAATAATAATAATAATAATAATAATAATAATAATAATAATAATAATAATAATATTTCAAGACATTTATAAAAATTTGTAAAACCCTATTCTGTCTAAACCAATCATATTATAATATTGGTGATACTATTTGTACACTTTATTAATGTTTAAGTCATATTTAAGGATTTAACTCTATTATTATCACCTCCTAAATTTTTCTCTCCAATGATGTAATCATTCTGAATCATTGCATTTTTAGTAGCTAAATTATTGTTTTTCTATGAGTTCTCATCTTGAAGAAGAAATTGAGAATTTGACTTTTTTACACAAATAAACTTTGTCATTGAACTTTTTTACTTAGCACTGCTTTCTCTAATCTTCTCCTCTTTTTTATTTATCCTATTCAGATTTAATCCTTTTTATTACACCTTGAAATTAATTAAATTTATAGATTTAATCATAATTGAAAATGTGTGTCTAACAAAATCAACAAGTTATAACACCAACACTCAATAGCAAACAATCAACAATTAAGAAATCAAACAATCAACTATGAATGAAATCAATTAATAAACCAATCAAATAATCATATCAGACTAATCTGCTTTCAAGTGGAATTTTTAAATGAAATTTTAAGAGAATGTTTTTCATGAAGTGTAGATCATGTTCATAAAGTTTCAGCTTAAAATTCAATCGTGAAGTCAGTTAAATAAATTATTGAAAAAAATGCACCAAAATATAACCAAGCATTCCAACTCAACTGATTGTGAGGTTACCATGCCTAGTGGGAGGTCTCGAGTTCGAAACCCGCTAGACACATAAGAGTTCGAAGATCAATGGAGTGAGTTTCAGCCCTTATCACTCCAGGCCCCCCAGCCCCCTCCTCCAGACCCCCTGGGGTAAAAAAAAAACAATGCACCAAAATGTGTATACAAACACAATATTTTTCAATAATTTATTTAATTGACTTCTAAATTGAACTTTAAACTCATTTTTTTACATAACCTACACTTCATACGTAATATAAGTTTTCACCAAACAAAATCTATTCCGAAGAAATTCAACAAATTTCACTCGAAAAAAGGGTTAGTATAAGGTTGAAAATTAACCTACTCATTACAAAGCACTACACTCAGACCTATTTTTTACCCATTGTTTTGGGCCTAGAGCCTCCGTAGGTCTGTCAATGAGTCGAGTCTTGACTTGGGTGTACTGAACTTGAAACCAAAGTGAACTAAAACAAAATTGGAATTGAATCGAAACACAAATAATTAATATTATAATTTCATACGATATCTCTCAAATAAATCGAAAACTATAAAAACGGAAGTGAAAAGAGCATTAGAGGAAAGTATTAGAAAAGCACCCAAAAAGTTGGCATCTCTAGGAGTTCGTATATGGTACCACCGGCTATACGGTGAGTACCGTACAGTCGGCCCAGTAGCAGGTCCAAGAGAAAAATAGAAAAATAATTTGGTGGCATTTTTGTAATTAATGTAAAAAACGCGGTTTGTGCTAAATGAGCATTAGTGTACTTTTAATGAGCAATAGTCCAATTTTAATGAGTATTAAGCGTCCAATAATGAGCATTATGTTAGTACAAGAAAGATGATATCACAACTAAAAAACGGTGGCATTTTTGTAATATCAGTGAAAATCGTGATTTTCGATAGATGAGCATTGACACACTTGTAATGAGCTTCACATGTATTCTATTGAGCATCAAGAGTCGAATAATGAGTAATGTGATATCAATTTCATATATTGTAATTCACTTTATTTTTCTTATTTTTTCTTTTATAAAAACTCATTAAATTGTATCTATAATCAATTCCTATGAATTTCAATATGCGAATCTAATGTGATATGGTACTTTTGAATTATACATTGTTATGACATTTTAAAAATGAGCACATCAGTACCAAATGAGCATATGTAACGTACAAATGAGCATTGATATGAAAATCGTAAGTTTTGTTAGTGATCATCAAACCTCCTCTATTGAAATTCAAATCATGCAATTGAGTATAATGATTTGTGATCTCGAGTCTATGATCAAATCCTATGCGAGTCTAATATAATACGATACTTTTGAAATATGATTTAATATGACATTTTAAAAATGAGCATAATAGAAGTAACAATTGAGCACACGTAACTTACAAAATGAGCATTAATATGAAAGTCATACGTTTTTTAGTTGAGCATTAAGACATTTTTATTGAGCATCAAACATGCTCTATATAATTGAGTATCATGGTTTATGTTCCTGTATCTATAATCAACTCCTACGTAAACTTAATGTAATATACTCCCCCCGTTTCATTTATATTGTCCCGTTTTACCTTTTCGGAAATTCATACTTAAATTGTCTCATACCATATTTGACAAAGTTTGTGTGGCTCTAAATCATTCTTACTTTATTCTTACTTTATCAATTAATGTCAACCACACAAACCCACTTTTTCTTAATAATCGTGCCACCTCTTCCGGGACAATACAAATGGGACGGAGGTAGTAGTGCTTTTGGAAAGAAAAACAAAAAAAAAAACGAGAAAGTGGAGTAAGGCCGCAGCAGCCAGAAAACGGAAAACGGATGGAAATTAAGGAAGAGTGCCGGCGGAAAAACAAAAGCACCAACGGTCATTAGCTTAACCTTTATCCCATAAGTTGGATTTAATTAAAAAAAAACCCGGCCAACTATACCATGCTCTAGGTAGGGGTGTGCACCGGTCCAAAACCGGACCGGACCGGAACCGGTTAGGACCGGAACCGGAATCATCATTTTCTATGGACCGAAGACCGGACCTGAATCTAACCGGTCCGGACCGGTCCGGACCTGAATCTAACCGGTCCGGACCTGAATTTTCCGGTCCGGTCCGGGTTTGACCCTAATTGACCCATTTTTAAAAAAAGACATACGGAGTATTATCTTAGAGTGTTCTTTGCCGACCCCAAATTTTTTAGGAATAAGACTTGAATGTTGTTGTTGTTTCAAACTATAATTTTATATGCGGATATGCTAAATAGACTAAATAATTGTTTAGTTCATTTATTAATTTTGGAATATAGTCATCAAAACTATTCAATCGTAACAATTAGTATCCCACAAATCCCCACAATAATTAAAACTACAATATTTTGTGTATTAAATTTGCAAAATTTAATAAAAACTAAATTACATCCAAAAATATACTACATATAAACTACATACACACCTGCAAATAAAGAAACAAATAAAAAGCGATTTGGAAAAATCAAACAAATATAAACTACGATCAATAAAAAACTTAGGACCTGCTACATAAAAAAAAATTATAAACAACTTAGGAAATAATTAGATACCAAATACACACTCCATATATATTCGTTTATATAACAAAAGGCAAAAATAAGGCATAAACATAGTAGTAAGCCAAATATAAATTGACTAATGATTCAAAATGAAGTATATATTTTATGGAACAATAGGTTACCGATCTATTCCGGTCCGGACCTGTTTTTTCCGGGTTTGACCCGGAACGGACCGGAAACCCGGAATCTTGAAAAACTAAGGACCGAAACCCGGACCGGTTAATACCGGTCCGGACCGGGTCATTCCGGTCCGGTTCAGGTCTAAAATACGGTCCGACCAGGTTAATGCACAGCCCTAGCTCTCGGTACCGTCGGCCGCTGTACCCTATATATTAGCCGTATATTCCAGGAGAATCCGACACTCCCGAAGGCCGAAGTAAGCAAGATCAACTTATCCATGGCACGCTAACTCAGTCGCCAAGCATCACAATTAAGCAAAATGTGCTATAGAAGTAAAAAAGATGGGACCTTTATGACGGCTAATGGGTTTTATAAATCACTTTATTACATTTTCTTGATCGTTGTGATGGCTGGCTGGATAGAGGTGGCCGCCGATGAAGAAAAGCGAATTCCCACCACCTTGGATGGCCCTTTCAAGCCTGTGACGAGGAGGTTCGACCCTTCTTTGCGCCAAGGCAGTGATGACTTGCCCATGGAACATCCCAGGCTCCAGAGGAATGTAACCTCCATGTTTCCTGAGCAGGTCGCTCTTGCATTATCCACCCCTACTTCTATGTGGGTCTCTTGGGTCACTGGTATGAACTCTGATTTTTATTTAATTTTCTTCGTTATCCTCTTTCCCCCAAGGTAATCCAGCTGTATCTTGCTCCTGAATCTTTACTATTTAGAATTGACATTCAGATATTTCTATGTCATGAATCCGAAAGCTTTGGGTTGGCACTTAAGTGGGATTTAAATTGAGCCTTCTTGGCTTTTAGGGGAATCTCAGATTGGATTGAATGTGACGCCACTAGATCCAGCAAAAGTAAGAAGCGAGGTGTTTTATGGAAAATCAAGTGGGGCTTACACAAAGACAAAAACTGGGGTTTCAATGGTTTACAGTCAGTTGTATCCATTTGAAGGTCTATGGAATTACACTTCTGGCATTATTCATCATGTTAAAATCGATGGTAAATACTTGAGAAGATTGATGAGTTCTGCCCTTCGAGATCCCTTTAGTTGACTTCAAATTGAGTAGCTTTGTGTTCTCATGTAGATCTTGAGCCTGAGACAAAGTATTACTACAAGTGTGGAGATAGTATTTTAGGCTCAATGAGTGAGGAGTTTGTATTTGAGACCTTGCCTTTGCCTGCACCTCACAAGTATCCTTGTCGAATAGCTGTGGTTGGAGATTTAGGCCTCACAAGCAATTCAACTACAACCATTGATCATCTCATTGCGAATGATCCTTCAATGGTATTGATGGTTGGGGACATGACATATGCAAATCAGTACGTTACAACCGGTGGAAAAGCGGCCTCTTGCTATTCATGTCAGTTTCCTGATTCGCCCATCAGGGAGACCTATCAACCTCGTTGGGATGGATGGGGAAGGTACATTGATGATTTTCCTAATTAAATATATATCCCATGTTTTTTTTAATTATAAAAAGGCTTCTATCCATGCTAATATAATTATATAAATTCACAAAGAAACGGAAAAAGACATGTCATGCCAGTTTTGTAGGAGAACTGTACACTAGTTTACATGGTCGAGCATCTGAAACTCTGAATCGGCTTATAATAAAAAAAGGCAGGGAAAGGCTTTTTTGTTTACTTTTTTCTTCTTGTTGTAAGATATATCTTCTTTAATTGATTAAAACACCATTCATTAATTTGAGATAACTCTGCCATTCCAAACAACAATCTAGCAACTTCAACTAAATTCTAACCATACCATGGGCTCTTAGTTGACAGATTCTTTTAATGTAACTAAAACTGTGGTCCAGGTTTATGGAACCATTGACCTCAAGAGTTCCAATGATGGTCATAGAAGGCAACCATGAGATTGAACCCCAAGCAGAAGCAGTAACATTTAGGTCATATTTGACAAGATTTTCTGTCCCTTCAAATGAATCGGGATCTATGAGTAACTTCTACTACTCATTTAATGCTGGTGGTGTACATTTCATAATGCTTGGGGCCTATGTTGACTACAACAGAACTGGTGATTGACATGATCTATTATTATTCCAAAATTAGCTTGCCTTTAAATATTATCAAACTGTTTTTTTGTGTTAAATACTTGCTGATGTGTTTCTAATGCCATTTTTTCATTAGGTGCTCAGTATAGTTGGCTAATAGAAGACTTGAAGAAATTAGATCGCAGCATAACTCCATGGCTTGTTGCTGCATGGCATCCTCCTTGGTATAACAGCTACTCATCACACTATCAGGAATTTGAGTGCATGAGGCTAGAAATGGAACAAGTCTTGTATCACTATGGAGTTGACATTGTCTTTTCCGGACATGTAAGATAAAAGCATCTCACTTTCATGCAATCACTGTCTTGGTTGATGATACACTCGTTATAAAAGTTTCAAAATTGGTATCTAAGCAATTGGATATAAATTTAACTAATACTCCGTACTTTGAGTATCTGGCTCATTTTTTAATTGTGGCCTTAAATTAAATCATCACTTCATTAGAACATTTCAGGTTTTGTTTGGTCTAGAATTTTCTATTATGATATGAAATTTTCTTGTATGTCCATGTAATTTTCGACGCGATTTTCACTACGGGTCATCCGACCCCCCTACCCCACCGTAGGTGGGAGCCTTTGCGGCACATGGCTAATGATAATGCTGATGATGATGAAAGTAATTAGCAAAAAAAGAGTTGCAGAGAACACCAGTTAAGTAACGTCTTCGAGGACATAGGAAGTTTCGATTGCTCTATATAAGACTGCATGTGTGTGTGTGTGTGTGTGTGTATGGCCCATTAAAGCTTGAGCTAGTTGTAATCGGTCGTCTTTCTTCATTTCTACTAGTCATATAATTATGGTACCAGTTTTTTTGACAGAATAATTACTGTAAGAGTTAGGGATAAGCTTTGCCAATTATTTTTTCTAAACGTTTTTTTAATTCTCACATTATCTGCTCACGCCTTTCACTGTGAAAATGATTGGAGTTTTATTGCACAAGAGGCTTTATTAAGACTTTCTTTCAGGTTCATGCATATGAGCGGATGAACCGTGTGTACAATTATACTCTGGATCCTTGCGGGCCAGTCTACATAACAGTGGGGGATGGTGGTAACATTGAGAAGGTTGATGTTTGATAGGAATGGGCCTATGGTAGATAATAATAATAAGTGGGCCTATTATTTTAGATAAAAAATGGGCTTGTACTATAAAGAGTAAGGAAGGGGGGAGGGAAAAGGGAGGCTTTTGGACTTTAGGTCTGGGACTGGGAAGACTAGAGATTATTCATCTCTTCTCTTTGGGGCTTCGGCCTTGTTACTGTTACTATTCATCTTCTTCAATAAACATTTTCAGTTTGTTTCTTGATCTTTTTTTCTGTAAATCTTTCTGGGATCTTGGGGTTTCTATCATTGGTATCAGAGCGTCTTTTCTGGTGACCTGATTTCTTGTTGAAATCGAGAATTTTTTTTGGGTTCTTACGGTGAATGGTGCGTACCAGAGCAAAATGGAACAAAGGATGGAGGCGATGGAGCGGACTCATGTTATGATGGAGCGTAATCATGATATGATTGTAGCGATGACCAGACAGCTAGGTGCGATAATAGGAAAGATGGATGCGATGATCGAGGAAACCCGTGAGAGTAGGAGGTCGCGATCTCATCATCTTCACCAATCACGAACTGTTTCTTCGGGTTCGCAAAGTTCGCAGAAATCTCGAACTGTTTCTTCTGGTTCGCAGGAGTCGCGAACTATGGCGCACTCGCGAAAGGATTTGCGCGGTTCCCGACCGCCATCGCAAAAAGATTCTCAACGTTCGTCGAAGCTAGAGGTTCCTTGCAGTACGTCGCTAGCCGCGTCTCAAAGTGCGACTTCATCAGCAGTTTCTCAGTCGCAAACTGCTCCTCTCAGTTCGCAAGCTTCACGATCGGTTTCAAGTTCTAAATTTTCCTCGCGAAGTGCTTATGCCCAACCCTCCTCATCGCAAACTTTGTTTTCACATTCGCAGTCGCAATCGCGAACTGTTCCTCTCAGTTCGCAGGGGTCTGGTTTTCTTCTGCAGGCGTCTTCATCTACTCTCTGTTCGCATCAGAGTTTTCAATCGAGAGAAGACTATTCGTGTTTGCAAGTTTTATCGCAAACCATCTCTAAATCTGTGAAAGTTTATCCCCAGTTGATGAAGAATAAAGAGTTGAAGACAGCTGAATATGTAATCAAGAAACCTACTGGAGACAAAAACGAGGAGCTAATTACAGTTGCAGGAGGACCTGAAGCTACTGCAATTGCTGAACTACTCAGTCATGCACAGGTATCACCTATTTCAGAAGCCATATCACTAGACGTTACCCGAAAAAGAATTTCAGAGGGCTCAAAGCTGGAAAGAAATGTTGAGTCAAAGCCATTTGCACCTTCAGTTCAACAAGTGAAGATGAAGCAAGAAATTCTGAGAGCAGAAAACATTGAGTCATCAAATAACCTTGAACCTCGACGAGTTCATGAACTGGATTTGGGTGTTCAAATAGATATGCTGCATCATCCTTCATCAAAGGGAAGGTTGGAAGGGATGAAGCAGATTGAGGATTTAAAAATTAAGGGTGTGAATTCTATGAAATATATCCGAATGAGATTGGGAATAGGATTGGCTGGGAATGATAAGAAAAATGGTAAGGAAATGCCAGTAGTTTATATATTTGTTCCAGATGAGGGTGTAGTCTGTGACTATCAGTTTCATATGGTATGTTCTGACAAAGGAATGAAGGCTACAGATAACCAGAAATATGATACATCGGGTGTGTTAGCCGTTGATCTGCTAACTACAGTTCATAAAGCTTCAGCAGGAACTGCTATTCCTTGGCAGTCCAATTTAATAGCTACTGCTGCATTTAGGAAGCCATGGAAGGATTGGATGTATGTGAAAAAGGAGGGTGTACAAGCGGGATCAGTTCAGAAGGATGCTAGTGGAAGGTTATGGTGGAAGAATGAATTTGATTGGACTACTAAGTGCTGGACTTCAGGGATGACCGGTTGCAAGAGGCTTACAGATAATCCACCTCAGTTTGCAGCAGGTTCTGCACCATTCATGTTATTGTTTGCACCTATCAATTCTGGATTACAGGATTCGTATGGGAAAGTTTCCTTTAATAACTCTGAAGTTGAATCTGCCATAGTTGTTGATCAGTTAAGCGATGCTCATGCTGTTATTATCGGTTCCAAGAAATACTGCATGTCAGATACTACAACTTCAAGGACTGGAGCCACTGAAATCCAAGAGCTTGAGTTATATCAAGAGGTAAGACTTGTTAAAAATTGGAAGATGGAGCAGTTGGTGATTGGGCAGATTGATAAAATTCCATTCCATCATGAACAAAGCCACCTGACTGGTACAGATGCTCTGAAAATAGGAGATCTGTTGAGGCTTTTGCTAGAAGAAGTAAGGAGGAAGACTCAAGTATGGAAGATCTTAGTCCAGAAATCAGTCAAGTACTGGGAGGGGAGAAGTGCAAGAATGAAGTGCAAGTGGAAGATCAAGGCTGACTCCTATCACCCACCTTGAGGGCAAGGTGGTTATTCAGGGGGGGAGTAATGATAGGAATGGGCCTATGGTAGATAATAATAATAAGTGGGCCTATTATTTTAGATAAAAAATGGGCTTGTACTATAAAGAGTAAGGAAGGGGGGAGGGAAAAGGGAGGCTTTTGGACTTTAGGTCTGGGACTGGGAAGACTAGAGATTATTCATCTCTTCTCTTTGGGGCTTCGGCCTTGTTACTGTTACTATTCATCTTCTTCAATAAACATTTTCAGTTTGTTTCTTGATCTTTTTTTCTGTAAATCTTTCTGGGATCTTGGGGTTTCTATCAATGTTGATTTTGCAGATGACTACGGGAAATGTCCATCTGGTGGTGATAATAGACCAGAATTTGGAGGTGTATGTCACATGAACTTCTCATCCGGCCCTGCCAAAGGAAAATTTTGCTGGGACAGACAACCCGAATGGAGTGCATATAGAGAGAGCAGTTTCGGACATGGAATACTTGAGGTAAACCTTAAGATCAGACTTGTGTTTGGTCAATGTGGAATGACTTAATATTAGCTTTTCATGAGAATCATGACAACTTTGCAACATTTATGTAAAACAGGGCTTCCCCGTGTTTTCTTCTTTTCTTCTTCATTGCAGGTTGTAAATTCCAGTCACGCACTATGGACTTGGCATAGGAATCAGGATGTTTACAAGAACAACGCTCACGGTGATCAGATATACATTGCAAGGAAGCCTCAGGGTTGCTCCATATCTTCTGACTTCTGAGGTAAGTTTAATGGTTATCACTTCAAAAACTGGCACATAAAATATACGAGTAAATGAGTAAGAGGAGCAGCTAGAGGCTCTATTGTTTAGACTGTATCAGACAGTGGACAACCTCAGCAAATTCATACGTAGTACTCCGTATATAATTTCTATGAATACAAAAATTACATATTTGTCCCTTTAATCTTTATTTTTTTGACATTTCACTGACAGTTGATATATTCTCCCCATCAATATTTTCTCTACAAAATTAATAAGACCTTAATAATTTGTTATTAAAAAACAGGTTATTAAAGTCACTTGCATTTAGAAGTTAAACATTTATATGTAATAGAGGTACATTTTTTTTGTTAATCATCTTTACTTAAAAATAGGAATGCCCTGTGCCCAAGTTTAACAAGAACTAAAAACTGTTTTTTATTAGCTGTACTTTTTTTAGAATTTTGTGATACAGTTAGCTGATCGATAGAAATATACAGTGCATCGTACAATTACTTTTTTAAACTTGTATTAGGTTTTGATTTCAATTCTCTTTGACGCACAAGGCATTTCCAATTATATAAAATGACCGGGGACACTACAATCACCAACAAAATTTGAGGACACTGAAAATGTGAAGTCGGAAGTTGAAGTAATCAAGTGTGACGTACAAGGTTAGCATATATTTAGACAAACTCATTAAATTCGTATTACATATGAAGATATACCAAAAAAATCCTTGATAAAATTAAGTCATTATTGCATAATGGGGGTATTTAACATTCAGCGGTTAGCGGTTGGCTGGTTCTGTTGGCGATTGACTATTAGCAGATTCTGTTGGCTGTTTTGATTAGCAGATAATATTAGCGGTTTATAAAATGGTGTTTGGTCAAATAGCTGTTTATAATCAGTTGTTTGTTAAATGTCTTTTAAGGACACCAAATAATTTTTTATTTACTAACTACTTTTATGCAGTACATTTTATTAATCATATTAGTACAATTACGTACACCATTTTTGTTTAACAAAAAATTACTCCGTATAACACAATTAACAATTTTTTTAAACATTGATTTTCTTGTATTACTCCCTCCGTCCCATTTAAAGGTTCCCGTACACTATTCTCCGGTCAACGTGCATTGTTCTTAATCTTTTACTTTTTATATCGAAAGTTTATGAAATTTAAAATATTTTTTGCAGGTTTTGTTGCGGGTTTAATGTAGTTTCTGAATAGGTAAATTTTATTTACTAAAAATAATTCTATTAATGACAGGGATTGGTTAACTTTATGGTCAGTCAAACATCGTAAATCGTGTGGTAACCTTAAAGTGGGACGGAGGGAGTATTATATTAAATCGGTACTCTGTATGGTTATATATTAAATGGAGTAACAAGTAATGCTATACGAAGAAAAGTTGTTTCAAATTTAAGGAGTTCAAAAAGAAAGAGTGGAAGATGTCTATTTACTCTATTACTCCCTCCATCCCAAAATGGTTGGCCAATGTTGACTTGCACGTAGATTAATAAAGTAAAAACTGTGGTCAAAATTTGTGCAGAGGAGAGAAAATTAACTTTAGCCACATATTTCTTACTTTAAATGGAAATGACCAACCTTTTTGGGACGGCCAAAAAAGGAAATTTGGCCAACCATTTTGGGACGGAGGGAGTATTTCTCTGTTCTTACGGTATGTCAGATTGGCAAGGAGAAGACCAGTGGAGCGGAAGAGAAAGGAGAGAATAGTCTTTGGGTCAAATAGGGATATCATGTAGATTCTGAACGGCCAAACACCTAAACGCTAGCTTGAATGGCATTTTTATTTTTGGTTGTTTGGTTTAAAAAGCAAAATTAAAAAGCTATTAACCAAACACCTTGGTTAGCTGATTGATCTGGTCAAAAAACAAATAGCAACCAAATCAGCAAAAAAGTGACTGATAGACCCAATGATTATTTTGAAGTACTCATTTTTTAGTTTTTAACGAATTTAAGGCGGAAAATTATTTTGACACAAAAACAAAAAAGCGCGCTAAAACATTTTATTTTTATGGACTCAGTATTTGGGTTTTAAGACATCGAATATATACTCTATGTTGCACGGATACGGATACGCCGATACGTGGATACGCGGATACGGGTACGGCGATACGACACTTTCAAAAATTATAGGATACGGGTACGGGGGTATATTTATAAATAATAAAAATATAGGGTATAATTTGCAAATATATATATAATTCAGGAGTTCAAAAATAAAATAATAATAGTACAAAAAATTAACTATTATAATAAAGTTTCAAAAATTAGTCTAAAAAAACTAAAGTATTGATATTTTGATTTAAATTCATATAACATTTTTTTGTTCTCTATTTGCATTTATATCCAAGTCTTGTTTCAATTAAAGCTCATCAAGCAATGAAATGACAAATTATAGTATTCCATTATTTTCCATACTCCCGAAATCATCTTTATCAATATTCCACATGTTGTGGTCACTTGGGCGGCTACTAAATTTTCGTCATGTCGTGTATCAAATGAGGGGTTATAGATTCAGATACGCGTATCGGTTCACGGATACGGGTATCGGAAGTATCGGTATTTTTAAAATTAAGCCCGATACTTTTATATAATTACAGATACGGACCCAATACGTACAGGACGCGTATCGGTGAGTATCGGATACGGATACGTATCGGATACGCGGGTACGGCATCGAGGTGAAGTATCGGTGCAACATAGTATATACTCACTAACATTGAAACTATTCCCTATGTTTCTTAAATAAAATTTTGTTTTCCTTTTTTCGATGTCTTTAAATTGTATGTAGTATTATTTTTCTATGCTTGATAAATACTCCGTACATTCTTATCAATTTGTTCTATTATGTACTTTTAATAATTAACTAATATTACATCCATTCCACTAACATTGGGACATGAGGAGTTGGCACTGTCATTAAGAAAAAGTGGATTTATATTTTGATATTAAATTGATAAAGTAAGAATGATTTACAATCCCACAAACTTTACTTAATTTGATATGAGACAATCGTAGACTCGTAGTGAGACTGAGGGACATTGTGTAGTGTCACACAATGTCAAAAGAATGTACTCTACAATATTTATTCTTTGTAATAAAAAAACACTTCAGGGAAGAAAAGTACATTTATTACTCAAAGTAGGAAGTTCTTTAAAGAATGAAGATACCATTTAATTAACAAATACTACCTAATATGTACTTTAAATCACACGAACACAGAGAATTTCAAATTAAATTAATTATAAACAAGGACATATATGGACACATTTTTACCACATTTTGTAGCTACATTTTCTTTGATAAGTAATCATGTAGTTTGTCTTCAAGCATTAACTATTTGTCAAAAAAGAATATATTAATAATTTTTACACCCAAAGTACCTTGTGATCTTATAGCATCTGTCACTGCTTATCCCAATGAGGAGGTCACAGGTTCGAATCTCATATCAGTCAAGGGTACTTTTAAACTTATTTCCCAAATAGGGGCATTTTTGCCCTGTCATCACCCAAGCTAAATTCCATTTCCACCTGCCGCGTCATTAAATTTCCAATTCCATGTCAGCAAACGATACATGTATCTTCTGAAAAATGAAATGCCCAGGGCTTTTTGTGGGATTCGAACCCACTCCCGTGGCTTAGAAATTGTGAGGCTCATGCCACTGGACAACCTTCTCTTGTTGTTGCGTTTTGTAATTTAAACATACTAATAATAGTAATTGTTATATACTACGTAATTGGTAGTACTAGTAGAAATAATAAAAGTAATAGTAATAAAAATAATAATACAAAAGAAAATAATAATAACAATAGTAGAAATAATAATAATAACAATGATAACAATAATAGTACTGATAATAATATAACAAAGAAAATAATATAAATACAATAATAACAATGATAAGAATGATAATAATGATATTAATGATAATAATAATAATAATAATAAATATAATAATAATAGTAAATATAATAATAATAATAATAATCATAATAATAATAATCAATATAAGGATAATAGAAAGAGGAAAATAATTTAAATAATCCAAACTGTGAAGAGGTGTGAGGTAAGCACCCCAAACTTATATATGTAATATATATACTTCAAACTTTATAGAAAAAGTTATGTCAGCACCATACTATGTATTTTTTATTCAAAAATGCAAATTTATGGTGTTTAATTAGCACATAGTTTAAAATACTTAAGCATGTATATATGTGTAGTTAAAGCATCATAGAATCACATTGCAAAAGAAAAAACTATGTTCATGGCACTAATATTACTTTGTATATATAATTCGGGGTATGAATATTACATTTGAAAGTTTAGAGTACTTTCATCACACATCTTCAAAGTTTGAGGTATTTAAATTATTTTTCTCTAAAAACAATAATAACAATAATAA